AAACATAGCAACAGGTTCTATGTAGTCACCAAGCAACTGCTAAAAACCTTCAGTAAATTATGTAGGTGAGAATTCTATTATACATCAAGTCTACTGCTGAACAACACCTCCAAAAAACATATTAATATTTACATAGTATTGCACCACATTAGTACTGTTAAATATGGTATATTATAGTAGAACATATAGCATGCCTTATTTGACCATTTTCCTCAGTGATGCAACAGTTGGCACACCAGCTGTTGGAAACAGTGTGCAAGGTAATGTTCATTTATACTGGATTTTTATTATTATATTAATCTCAACATTAACTAAGTTTACTAAACATGGGTTTTAATGTAGAAATATTTGCAGTTGTCTTATAGAGGATTATTAGGATCTCTGTTTTATTTGATTATCATCAAGATGTCTGCTATTTATACAGGGTGGTCCATTTTAATTAGTTTGCTGAAATAACTCAAAAAATATGCATCTTACAAAAAAAATCATTAAACAAAAATGTTAGACTTAAGGAAACTATTGATTTGTCAGTCCCATATAGTAATCAGTGAAAATGGAGTCAACTTCAGATTCTTATATGGGAATCCCCAGTTTTTATTATATATTATGATTCTACATAAAAAAAAAACAAACTTTTATCCAAAAAACTTTTTGAAAGATATAATGTCTTATCAGAAGGGTTATGCAACAGCCAAATGGTGCCTATGTAAATCTGAGGATATCTGTGATGATCATTGAAAAAAAAATGAAGAAAAATGCAAAAAAATCATTAGGAAACTATTATAATATGGTGAAATCATTTTTTTTCCTTCATATAATGAATTGATACAAAAAATAGTGCCAAATCACATTAAAGCCATTAAACTTTTGATAAAAAGAAGACATTGCTCTTGATTCCACCAAATAATAATACAGTGGAACCTCGCTTAATGAGCAAAACAAATTGTAAAAAAATGACTCTCTTAACAAGTGACAAGAAGAGGGGAAGTCCTGGATTTTGCGCATGCTCCATCAGTCTGTGTTAAGCACTCATTCCGCTAGCATCTTAATGTCGCTTGTGATCACACATTTTTCTAAACTTGTGTTCACACATTTGCATATAAACATCAACAACCATAGCTTGTTATATAATAAACACGCCAAACGATATGCTAAATTCTTGGGCTATGTAAAGGCTATAATTAAATATTATAGATAGATTAATTTGACTAGAGGTAGGCATTTAAAGAACTTTGTCAGTTTCCCCATTGCAAGTACTGTACAATGGGTATTGTAAATATGTTATGTTTGCATGCCCATCACTTAGGGTGCTTCAGTAATTCTTAAGTACTGGTCCACAACTGAATGTAAATTTTTAATTTTTTTTAAATAAAAGCGATGTAGGCGCCCTTGGGACTTCCATTTCATCCCCTTTCCTATCCTTTATAATTTCACCTTCAGCCTCTTCCAATAAATCATCTTTCTTCTCCATTCTCACCCTAGGCAATACCTTTGAGTAGCCCCTATCTGCTAAAAGTAAAAGTAAAATTAAAAGCAGAGGTAGGCATTTATGCTGTCATCTCATATTAAATTTAATGACCAATTCCAAATTAAATTTTAGAAATGTCTAAATTAAAAATTAATACGAGATGACAACATAAATGCTACCTCTAGTCAAATTAATTAATTTCTAATATTTATTTATAGCCTGTATAAAGCCCAAGAATTTGGCGTATTGTTTGGCATGTTTATCAGATGTATTATCTGATTTTTTTTGTTTTCTACAAATTGAATTAGCATTCCAGGTTGGTTCATTCCGAACTAGAAGAAAAGGTGATGATTCAATCTCCTTAACAATGTATATTGTATCATTTTCTTTGAATAAATGTTATACATAAGTGCAGACAACCAAACTTTGTAATAAAACACTCACTATAAATTTCAGTTTCTCCAAATAAGAAGACTCCATTTCATGTGAGCTGCCAACTATGGAAATGCCCCATAGAAAGTTTCAAAAATTAAAAAATATAAGTTAAATACTTATACAGAATATTAATGATCAAATGGATGGATTTATTGTATATGCATTGTAAGATGATAGAGCTAATACTGCTGTTGAGTATACTTATTCCAGAATGAAATTGAAATTAGTATGTGAAACAAAGAGCATATCTTTTTGATTGATTTTTGACACGACTATGTCTTGTTTATAAAATCGTACTGTCGTTTTATGTTACCAGCATAGAGTTATGAAGGAGTACATGTCAAAAGTTAATATTTGGCACAGAGTATTAGGTGCCTAAATTATTTGCGCATAAAAAAATCCAGACTTGTAGGTAGTCGAGACCGAAAATAGAGTCAAAATAAAATCCAAAATGGTGACCCTCTTCTACAAACAGGCGTATTCGATTTTGCCTGAAGACGACAGTTGTAAATTGTTGAAAGTACTAGCGAGTATATCTGAAATTTAACAAATCGCTGTCAATAACACTGCAACATGGAAGTGTCCTATTTTTAATTTCTAAACGCTGGCGNTAAATAAAATAAAATTTGTAATCTAATTTTGTAAATTTGGGAGCGCTTCAAATATTGACATTAAAACAGTTTTATGTCATTACAAGTGGGTTTTTTTTAACATTATCTAGTATAGTAAAATCGTGAGACTGATAAAAATTTGATGTTATATTAGGTTGTCGTTACATATGATGACATTATAATTGGGTTAAACTGTATATTGTTTGTGCAAAATAAAAAAATAATTTTGGACGATACAATAGCCATGATTATTTTTTCAAAAACAGGAAATTTTTGTTACACATTGACAAAAATTCAATCCGGGCTGACACTCAATGGAGAAATTGGATAGGTTAATTTCATTGAAAATACATCATGGATGACCTCTTGGTTGTGGCTGGTGAAGTTTGAACAATTGCACCCAAAAGCAGCGATATCAAAGAAGATTGGAGAATGAGACCCGCCTTGAGCTTCAAAGTGATTCCGCTTAGTAGTGAGTGTCCGAGACATAGTCTTGTCCCAAATACGTTTTTGCCGTTTTACTTGTTCCTTTTAAATGTATCCAATGTTTGGAAGTGAATCAGTACTTTATATTATGTCTTAGTCCATTTTGGACATTCTTGTGAACTAGGACTTGTTATACTAAGGGTTAGGACTTTAAATACTAAGAATCACACAATTTCTAAGTAAAACACCTTTAATGTAACATAATCCTGTATTCCACTACATTTCAGCATTTTGGGCCTAAGCCCCTCTTTAGCGGACATTACATTTTCTAATTACAACTTTAAAAAATTCAAAATTCAAAAAAAGATTACACATTAATTTATACAAAATTTTTACAATAAAAATTATATATTTACAACTTTATATTTTAATCTTTTAACATTTTTGGAATAGACTTTTAAATCACTATTTTTAAATTCTTCCCATACTAATACTATTTTTTCACTCCTATTCCTACCACAAAGGATATCAGGGATTTTATATGACATTTGATTAACAATGGATTGGTATATGATTTTAGATTCTTATAAAGTTTCAAGTTTTCTGATAGTTTCTTAATTTTATTTTTGTCATAGTTATTTCCACCATTTACCTGCAGTTGGTTGAATTTCTTCACTTTGACAGAGTACTGGTGGGCATAAATCACATTGCGTCAACATTGTCCTTTGGCCATCACAATGCTTTGTTTTAATTAGACAGTCAGATTTCCCCAGTCCATGCCAGTGTCATAACTATTCATTTTTGTAAAATTTTCTTAGATAGTGGTATAGTTTTTTTTAATACTGGGATGAATCCAATTTTGTGGCCTCATGTGTATGCCATAGTACATTTGTGCAGTGTTTCGTAAACTCTGTTCTATAGAACTCTAAGAGTTCCTGTAGGAGTTTCCAAAAATTTGAACAAAATTATTAATTTTAACAAATGTGTCAGCTAAAAAAAGAGTATTTTAACACGCTTTCAAACACTAATTTATTAGAGCTTTTCTAAAACTAATAAATATTTTTTTAAAAAACATTCTAAATAAAACTCCAGTAAGTCCTCACTCATACACAGACTAATGTTTTTGATCCTTCTCTCTGGATCTTCATCAGGTCAATGGGTTTTAGAATCACAAAGCCTTTGATTATCTTCACAAGTGTTGCATTTTAAATATTGAGATTTTTAAAAATTGTGTTCCATATCCTGCTTATGTTTAAAGGTTTAATATCTTTGGTGACATCAATATAATAAAATAATCCTTGTGTTGGTTGTGGTGTCTTTAAAAATAACAATAATCATCGTATTTGTGACAGTTTTTTTAAAATAATTATAATTCTTGCATTGTTTGTGGGTTTTAAAATAAAGTCTGCCAGCATAGAACAACCAGTTCTCTTCTTTGAAATTAATTCTTGTCCTTTGTAACGAAGGATAAGTATTAATTGTATATAAGTGAAGACTTACTAGAGTTTTATTTTAGAAAATTCTTTAAAGATATTTTAATGCTGTCACTCTAGTCTAATTAGTTTTACTCAATTCTAGTCTAGAATTGAGTAAAACTAATGAATTTAATTTATAATTTATAAAATAACTGCTTCAGTAGATCGCTCAATCAGTTACATACAATGTTTATTAAACACTAAACTAATGTTTTTGGTCATATTTAAAGACCTTTGTCAAGTTTGATACTAAAAATCAAATGCTTTACAAAAGCTAACAGAAAATAGAAAATAGAAAATGCTTTACAAAAGCTAATAGAAAATAGAAAATTTTGTAAAGCATTGGAATGCCAAACAAGGTTTAAAATACAAAAAAATATTTTGTATTTTAACCTTTGATGTTTTTATTCTATTAATTGCTAGTTATGGTATTTATAAATTATTGTTTAGTGTTTTTATTATTGATTTATTATTCTATTTTTAATAATAAATTAATTCTCAATTTGATAATGTTAAATTAATAATTTTTACTTATTAATTTATAACTGATTAATAAAATCATAATTATTTGTTTTTTAAACATAGCTAGCCCACAAGAACAAGTTAATAACCAAAATACAATAACAACTCATCAGAGTATAGAAAATGAAACAGTTAGTTTATCTGGAGAAAATGCAACTACATCATTGAAATTACATATGGATTCCGAAGCAAATATGTCAGGACTTACTACTGCATCAGAAGGTATTTTCTTCATTAATAAATATTTTTAAAAAGTGTTTAAATCATTTCAAATTTTATGTAGAAATATAAGTACTGTATGTAGCATGTTTGTAAATGACTATAAAATACAGTTGTCCCTCGATAATCCGACAGGTATGGGACCAAAGGTGTGTTGGATTACGAAAAGTGTCCGGATTACCGAAAATAATTACATATTTCGCATTGTTTTGCTAGCAGTAACTTACAATGTTCTCTACTCCAACTGTTTGAACAGAACTGCTCACATAAAACACACGAAATGTGTGTCATCGAGTAAGAATTGGATGGGGAGATTCACATCATGACATGCTTCTGTGCAAGCAGACACGTAACGGGGACGGGTACCTTGACAGGAGGTGCATCGGACTACTGAGCATGTCGGATTAAAAAACGTCGGACTATCGAGGGACAACTGTGTAATCAAAATCAAAATGATTTATTATTTTCTGATATATACTATTGTATATATTTTGATTTAGATCATAGTTAATAAATAAATGTAAAGTTTTTTATGAAATTTGTTTTACTTAGATATTTGTAGATGGTAATATTAAAATTAACTCTGCAAAAAGAGAATACATAAGTACATATTTTATAAACATAAAATCAGTGACTATGAATACAAATAAATTAAAGTAAAATTAGTCTTTACTTTGTTAAGTAACATATACACATTTGGATTCTTAGCAGCAATACATATTATAATTTTAAATGTTTTTAAAAAATATATTGCGTGGAAAGTGAAAATCCAAACATAATGAATGTTGTATAAATCAGCTGTGTGCATATTTTAACTTTTAGACATTTTTGTTTCTGCACTATTTAATTTCTAAAATATGAAGTTTGAGTGCCATTGTTGATTAAAAATTTATTAAACTTTGCTAAATAAATAAATAATAATCTTTCATATTTTTCTTTTTTTAAAAGTAGTTCATAAAATTTTATTGTAACTTGCATTATTTTTTATAATTAATGTTGTATATAAATAAATGATGACTATATTGAATGACAATTTTCAATATATTTATCATTCATTTTGCAGTTATGAAATAACACTACACTTAGTTTTCAAAAGTATATACACACCTAAATGGAAAATTTAACATTTAATTCATTCCTTTTCATATATTCTTATTAATTATTTTATTCCAGTTAAAGTTGAAGCTAGTTCAGTCGAAAAACCCATTGAAAATAATGAAGACAAAGAAATGGTTGATTTCAAGATAGTGTTTAATAAACAAAAATATGATATTTCTTTTCCATTGGATGACACAGTAGCTTCATTGAAATTAAAAGTGGAAAAACTTACAAGTAATAAATTTTAAATAATTTTTCAAATTTAAGAAGTTATTTCTTAATTAATTTTTTGTCAATCTATATTTTTGTCTATTTTATATATTATCTTAATCATTGACAATGATATACTGAAAAATAATAAACCAATAATTATTTTAGATTAGTTAATAAAATTTAAGACTAATTTATTATAATTTTTCATTTTTATAGGGGTTCCTTCCTCAATGCAGAAACTTATGTATAAAGGTAATATGTGAATGTTAATAAAACTTAATAATTATTAAAATCTATGACTATTTGATAATTTGCAAATAATCTCAAAAGGAAATTTAAAGTTTACTTTTTATTTTGAGAAATAGTATTATATTTATATTATGGACCAAGTGATTAATAGGGCATTATTTAAAATGCCCAGCCATTATGAATAATGACTAAAATGGACATGCTGTCTGATAAATATTGATTTATTAAGTTGACCAGTCATTATGAATACAGCTACATTCCCTTGGACAATTTGATTTTAAAAAACTCCACTTTTTTCATTAAGAATTATTTCAAAGTATTTTAAAAACAACATGCAATCTTTTAAAAGTAAGTATTAATTAACTGTATTAATTAAACAATGTTAACAAAAAGCATTATTAACAAATTTATACTTCAATCAAAAAATCAACTTAAAGGAAACTTCTGGAATGTCAGTTTTGGTATAAATTATATAAAAAATTAAATATTTTTTTTAGTTTATTTATTTGAGCAAGTAAGATTTTGATGACATTTGGAATTGCATAATTTTTTTCTTTGTAGCATTTGCATCTATTAGATTTTCAACTGATTTTTCAGCAGCATCAACTATAGTTGTGGCCTTCAGAAATTGATGATATTCTTGCATATTCTCTAAGCAAAATTTCTGAACCCAGTACATCTCCAACAGAAATGAAGTTTTCTTTACAAACAGTAAATTGGTTTCTGGAATATAATAGATTTAATGTGCCATGTTTGGTACTCAGTTTGTAAAGGCTTTTATCTTCAACTGTAACAACAACACCTAAACTATTTTGAGTTTGCACAACTTTGACTTACTTTGTCGTTAGTTTTAAAAAGCGTCTCTAGATCTTCCTTCATATTAACAACGGTCAATATGATTTGTCGGGTATAAAATTCTTTAGTCCAACTTTTAGCTTTGCTTCAAACATATCCTCATAGTTACTACAGTTTATACCAGTATGATATGCTCAATTTTTCGTCAGTTGTACAAAATGTAATCCTTCCAACCATTTGTTAGTGTTGTTAGTCTTCAACCAAGCACTAAGCATATTTTCTACATCTTGATTACATCTTTCTGCTGAACCCTGACTTTGTAAGTGCCTGGGCTTTTCATGCACCATGTTTAACTCAGGCCACATACTATATATTTCTTTGACATTATTACTGGCAAATTCTCTGCCATTATTGCTTTATAGAATACCCTGTGCACTGAAAATTGTGAAAACGTCTAAAAACATAGGCTACATCTTCAGTCCATTTGGTTTTTTAACAGTCATAGTTGAATGAATTTAGTCAGATGGTTTTGATACATGAGTATAAATTTATATTGCTTATCAACTAACAACTACAAATTTATAAGATCAACCTGACATCTTGAGTTCATTTCATTACTTAAAATTGGTTTAACTACTAAGCCTTTCTTAGGAACACATTGTTTTTTCTGATAGATTTCACATTAAAATTCAAAGTTCAAATAAATTATGATAATCTCCCTTGTAATATTGTTATACTTTGAACTTATTCTTTTCCATATGGTTTCTACCACCATGGCCAATAGCAATACAGACATTGTGCAATATCAGAAATATTTCTTCAGTATGAACATAATATTTAATCACATAACTTTCTTTCACAGGCACAATTAATTTTTCTATTTCTCTGATAGATACAATGTCATATCTACATAAATGCTGATATTCTTCTGGTAATTTAGAAGTCACTTTCATTTTTGACTCTCACTTTTTGTATCATTGTCAAATATGCTGATTTTGCAAAAATTTGACTGTTCTGACTTTTTTCTGTTATTAACTTGTTTAATTGGTTGTTGAAGTGATTATTCATATCACTTAATGATTACTTCATGATATTTGCTTTTTTCAAAGAAGAAAACACCATTTTAAGAGGCAAAAGTAAAATTAAAATGTTGCATAATATTAACTACTGGTCATATGAATTTAAACTTAAATACTAAATGCAATATGCATGCACAACTCAGATGCGAGTGCTAATTTGCTAGCATATGTTGGATGATCATTCCTCAATGTTATACTTTGCTTGACCATGTGATAGCAGTATTCATGACCAGTCAATCTGATAAATTTGTTAAAACACCTGAAATTTATCACAGTGCCCAATTTTGTTTGTCATTATTCATAATGCCCATATTAATCACTTAGTTCATAACATATATATATGTTACAGGTCTTGCTAAAGATGATCAAACATTGAGAGCTTTAGGAGTAGTGAAAGGAGCTAAAATTATGGTGGTTGGTTCTACTCTGGATGATGTTTTAGCTGTGAACACTCCTGGAGAGCAAGTGTTAAAAGAAGAAAAGCCTTCAGGTATTAATATCTTTTATTTTTTCAAAAATTAAGAAATTATATAAAATATAGTATGCTTTTAAAATTGTAATTACTGTGTTCTCATTTATACTATGATTTATCTAATTAATTTAATTGGTTTAAATAAATTAATCTGTTTTATTACTTTTTTTCTGATATTGTCAAGATGTATTATATTATTAAATTTTTTCTTAGGAAGGAGTAAAAAAAAATACTTAACCAAAAAATGTGTAATTTCAAAATTTAATTAATATACTCTACCGAATATCATCACTTGTTATTACATATAATGATGTTCTGTTTACTAGTTATTTTGAAAAGATTTATTTTTAAAATAATTATTTAAAATGTATAGTTTTTTCATTAATATTAATTGGTTGTTATCCACTCATTAAAATATCTGATATTATCAAACAGCAGACAATTCACTTTGATTCACAACTTAAATATCCAAAGAAACTTAAATTATTTTTTCAAGTAATTTTGAATTGAAAAATAGTTTGATTGAACACAATTGAAAAATTTTATCATACAGAAATTTGTTTTTGTTTCAAAATTGCATTTACCTTATGTCTTATTTTAAACACCTGTTTCTTTAACACAGTGTTTTTCAACCTGTGGGGGTTGCGGGTGAAAGAACAAGTGTTTGTAGATCCTATACTACAATAAAAAGAAAAAGTAGAATTTCAGTGAGAAGGCTATGCCTGTTTATTTTACAGTACAATTGGTTTTCGATCAATATTTAAAGAAAGAAAATTAAATACATAGTTTTAAAATCACTGATATAGTTTTAATATGGCCCTGGGGGTCACCAGAATTTTTTAACTTGTAAAGAAGTCGCGTATTCAAGAAGGTTGAAAAACGCTGCTTTAACACATTCATTGCTGGTATAAAAACTGATTTTCATACCAATATGCTGAAATATTTTTATTATTATTATTTTTAATTTAATCTTATGTATTGGTATGTTAAAAGTGTGTAAGGAATTGTTTTGTTGTCATCCTTTGTCCCCTGAAAAAAATATGGTGTGATTAATACCCAGTTTGTAACAAGAAAATGTTAATATACAGATTACTAATACAAAATCAATGGATGAAATATATTCTTTGAAGCTTATAATAAACAATAAAAATTTAAGTAAAAATAAAAAAAAACTTTCTTCCTTATAATCAAAGGATGAAATTTTCCACAGTAATTGAAATATCTTTTCAAAAATGAATATACTATATCTGTTACTTGTTTCAGAAAGAAAACCAAATATAAATTAACATTTCATAATAATTTAGACATAATAATTTTCAAAAGGAATAGAATTGTTAGGGAACTATGTAAAACAATCCACAAATATGAAACATAAATAGTACTTTATTGTATAAGTATTGATGATGAAATTTATAAATGATTAATTTATCATCTATTTTCTGATTTTACTGATTTTTTTTTTTTTTATTTTAGCTGCAGAAAAGGAACCATTATGTAGGCAAAAGGTACCTTTAGTTTTATAATTTCTAAGTAAACAAGCAAACTATTAATAAAATGTTATTTAAATCTTATATAGATTAATCCAATCTTGAATATTCTAAATCAGTTGTCAAGTAAAATACATAGAATAAGTATATAAATGATATTCTTTTAATAATATAACAATAATGATTTGTTTTAATGATTTATTATAAGTTATCATCACTTTTTAGTTTAGTCATATGTAAATAAATTATTTCTGATTCAATTATTTAATTTTATTAATAAATACAGTTGATTGTATAACTAATATATTTTATCAGTCAAATTTTGACTCCCCTTTGTATTCCTCAATATTTTTACACTCAAGAAGACCAAAAATATAGAAAAATGTTGTGGACATCATTGTTTGTTTTAAATGATAAAGAGTATTATAGGATAATGCAATAAAAAAACGAGGAATGTAATCTAGTTATAGCTAGTTATGCAAGCTAAATTAATCATAGAAAATTCTATTGTGTACGTTATTGATATTTGATAAATACTGTAAAGATCACTGACTTTGGATGAACAACATTCTGTCACTGAATTTTCAATTACATATTAACTTGAGTGTAAAACTTAAATTTTATCTTAATAGCTTCACAAAAGAATTATTGATAAAGGTGTCCCTGAAGATGCTATGCCTGGTATAAGAAATGCTAAGGTAAATTCTTTTGTTTAGTATCAAATAATGATTATTTTAATATGGAATATATTTAATTAAATAGTTAAAAATTGCATAAAATAATTAGTAAATGTAATAATGAAATTCTGTGAGTAACGATAATTCTTGAATAATTTGAAATTTCATGTAAAAACAAACCACAATTTTGTATATTTTCAAAAAAATATATATTTTTTTGAAAATATACAAAATTGTGGTTTGTTTATATATGTTAGGCTCAAAGACCAAAATCGCTCATTGAGCAAAAAAAACTGACCACAACGTGAAATTCATGTCATGGCTTTCATATTTGACTACTATGTGTTGTGGTGATTAAGAAAAGCCATAACGTGTTCTGAATGTTAGCTGATGCAACGACGATAGAGGGCGATATGATGCACAGTGGTTTGTAACTTTAAAATATGGTTTCTAGCCTCAAAACATGTTTATTTACAATTTTTAATGCTGAACATTAGTTCTACAAGTTTT